CAACACGATCACGTAGAATTGCCAGTAAATCCTTCACGCTCTGACTAGTTCGATGAACCGCTGAAAAAAAACTGGTCGAACAGGAGGTTTTCGAAATGAACGGAAAACCCTACGGAGAAATGACAGCAGAATTCATCCCATCGTAAAACCTCCCATTGGGTATGTCCGTAATTGGTTGGTCTGTACACGTTTATCTGTCGCAAAACCCGTGACTTTTCTTGTTTTGGCATTGTAGCATTTAGAGGGGTGGGCGATAAGTACGGAATATGGGGATGATTTCGTGATTTCGAGCAATATCGATATCAGGGCACATTGGCGATTTCATACAAATCTATACGACACCCTCCCTTTTTTGGGTTGGTACGACCCCTCCCCCCTCGGTTTCCTCCTCATCATTGTCGAGGGTGGGGGAGGAGGATAGGGGAAGCACATGTAAAACCGGAAAAACCGCGAGAGAAATACGACCCTCTACTATTTCTTAGATTTTCTCCGACTTCCTACCTTTTTTTCCCCGGAAATTCCCGAAGATTTTCCTAATTTGAAGGGGAAGGGTAGGGGAGGGGGTGGTATATAAAACACATGAAATTGAAGTACCACGAAAACCAGCAACCTCTCTCCGAAGGTCAGAGGGAAATACGTCCCCTCACCCTCTCAACAACGAGAAACCACGACCCCCCCCCTTACAATTTCCCCGAAACAAGAAAAGGCAACTATAAAAAAACTTTCCCAGCCCAAATACGTCCCCCCCCCCTCCGTTGGGGAATCCCCAACAATGATGTGCCTTGATCGAGATGCTTTAGGCTTACAAGAGTATGTAGTGAAGTAAGTACAGCCCCCGATGTATGCGAACAAGTACGAAACGTTGAGATACGTAGAACCCGACAGGGCAAGCACACATTTTCTGGTATCTACAACCGAAAAACAAAAACTGAAAATGGATTATCATGATTGGAATACTTACTTGATGTGCTATTTCCTACTCGACGAACTCCATGCGCAGTCAGGTCACAAAGCAGAGCCAGCTGAGCACAACTACCTAATCGCAACAGACATGAGTCCCCATCTAAGTCATCAGAATATAGCAAATCACTGCAAGAAAGTCCGCCGACTCTTTCCATGAATTTCCTGGAACACTCATTGCTGTATTACTGTAATCGTGCCCACCACGAGGAGTCGCAACCACAAGATAGCAAAAAGATAGAGAATATCTTTGGTTTTCTATTCCATTGTGACGAACTGTACATTCACCTCCGAGGACAGCCCTTGTTATGAGTGAGCAAGAAATGGTTGCCAGCTGTGCAAGTGTGACGTTTGGGCGCTTGAGAGAAAGAGGCAGAAGGTAGTGATACCGGGATGCCGCTTGGGACCCCACTGCGCTACCCTCTATCACTTGCCTCATATCAAAATCCCGCAGCAAACATGAGTCAGAGGTAGAGAATAATCAGAAGTGAGGGAAAGTAGGTGTACGGCTATGTTCGAGCGTATGCCTGGCAGTTCGACAACGCCTCCAGAGCCCCGAACGGTACCAGAGCATCACTACCCTTCCAGCCCCATCTTTGGAGCGGAGAAAGTGGCATGCTACCGCACGTGCTGACCCATTCACCTCGCTTAAAGGCAGTTCGCACGATAATTTGGTACTCAGCCTAAAATGCTAGCAGGGCGCTATATAAAGGGAAAATGGCGAAAAAACGAAGTGAAACGGTCGAAAACTGCGAAGAAAAGCCTTCGTTCTTAAAAAGCAATTTCGGACGAGTTTCCCGTAGGCATATTGCAAATAACCGCTACGGTAGGTACGGCTGCATGTACAGTCCTCATCATTGCGGACCGGTGGGCGTGTCAGCCAGTATGAGTGTGCACACTGTTGAAGCCGTTCTCAGCCTTTTTGTTGAAACGCGTATGCGACAAAAAGTGGTAGAAAACGAGTAATACGAAGGATATAATACAGTAATGTCACTTGCCCGCTTCAACAACTGGTGCAGAACGACTTTGGCACCGCGCCAAACGCAGCCGCACTGACACGCCCCACCGGTCCGCAATGATGAGGACTGTATGTTCTCAAATATCCACTCAGCACCGCGACCACTCCATACCGATCCCTTCGCTTCATATTTTACTTAGCAAATGAAGCAGTAAGAGCATCAGACACGGTCGTCCATTTGTGGGCGGGCGGGCGTGGTGGGCGTTCGGGTCGGTATGTTGTATTTTGATAGGACCCTTGTAAGGGTACCTTCCTAGGAAAACCGCGCTGTGCGGCGGCCTGTCAGGATCGCGGATTTCCCCTCCGCCGACAGCGTATCAGTCCGGGATTTATCATGCTAAGTGCCTCTAAGGCTAGGACCAGGGCCCACAAAGGTGAGTGTGCGTGTCTTTGAGCTACTTACGTGATTAGCAACTTGTGCTTGAATATCACTTTATGAAGTATGATAGATATGGGCAATGTCACTTCGTAGTCATGTAAGCGTGGATCAGGAATGTCCCTTGCCTGAATATTATAGTGTAAGGTTGAACTTATCGTGCTTTGAAAAGTATTGCATCATCCAAGCTGGTGCAACCAGGTGAACCAAACATACGTCTTCATTTGACTGAGTGAGGTAATTCAGAAGGAGGACGGCACAAATATTAATGGACTTGTCCAACATTGTTTCAGTATATTCGTTTCGCTCCAGGAATGCCTTCCATAACGACAAATATGCGTCAGCGGTTGCTGAAAAAGCAAATTTTGAACACTGATAAAATTGTATCATTAAGCTAACGACAAGTTCATTTCAATTAAATAATTAACGAATCCTTTGGCAAGTTTCCCGGTGAGATCGTTCTCCGTAGGTGCTCGCCACGCGCAGCGATCATTGGAGTACTCCCAAGACTCTCTGCTTGTATGAATGAGCAACGCAAGCGTCGTCTACTAGGGTTTGTCTGCTCCCAATATTTTCACTTGAAGCGGTGCTTTAGAGCTTAAGTTTTGTGAAAGTTCTAACATTTCAGTTAATATGCATAGCGCTTAATTGTGCACTAGCTTTGGTTAATGCGGGCACTTAAGATCTGGTTGTCTTAACGAACTAACGGATAAAAATCGCATTTTCACTGGCGCAACTTGATATAACCTCGTGCGCTGCCGCTGGGATCTGGGAGGATTGCCGATTTCAACGGATGTATCTCTGAAATAACTCATCTCGGTATTTTCTATTTTTAGACAAGTTGTATAGGGTGGTATACTAGGAATAGATCGTTGTCTAAGGAAGATTTGATCCAGCACGGGTTGGGACGGAATCTCATCGGAAAAGTCGTACGGAACGGAAAGATAGTAACAGCTGACGTATAAATGAAAAAATTGCGCCGATGAATGGCAAGGCGCTCGTTGAATCCGTGTTTATCCCTTCCGGCTACCATTTATTCGTATATCAGTGTTATTTGAGAAGGCTGTACACTTCACTCAATCCCTAATCCTTTGCATATGTAGGTGAATGGGTTTCTCCCCCGCCTCAGCGAATAGAACAATGCCACTTCTCGGCTCGAGAACTGCACGAAACGGTCTGCAGGATAGCAATCATTCGGTGTGGGCCGGGCTCCACACTCACGCCTAATTGCAGTCAAATGCGCTGCTTACTCTGCCCTCTCCTTTTGGTTGTTTTCTACCACTGATTCGCTGCGGGACCTTGGTGTGGTGCGCTAGTGCTGCACCTTAATAATTACGCGGGCGGGGTATGAAGCCGACACCTAGTCATTAATCTCCATTCCAGTTTACGTGCATCACTGAGCTAAGAAAGTGGCACGTTGTTGCAGATGCGGGCCCATTCACCTCGCCCAAGGAAACGACCGTCATAAAGGCAGTTGGCACGATGATTTGGTGCTCGGCCTAAAAGAATTTGCTGTAGCGAGCTATGTAGTGGGGAAATGGCGAAAGAACGGAGTGAAACGGTCAAAATCCTGCGAAGAAAGAGACTCCGTTCTCAATGTGTTAGAAATCAATTTTGGACGAGTTTCCTGTAGCAATCTTGCCATAACCTACCGAAGGTGCGGCTGCATATATGTACATATATCCATGCAGCATCACGGCCGCTTCATACCAATCCCTTCGCTTCATAATTTGCTTAGCAAATGAATCGATTAGAGCGTCAGGAACGGTCGTCCATTTGTGGGCGGGCGTTGGGGTCGAATGTTGGCTTGATAGGGCCCTTATCGCGCCAACTGCCTTTAAAGGTGAGCACAGCTTGCCTTTGGAGACATTCTCGTAAGGATAGGCAGCAGAAACCTTTTTCATCCAACTGTTCGTCTTCTTTAGTACACTTGATGATCCATTTGGGGATGAAATCCAGCACAGGCAGCAGCGGTGAGGAGCTGATTGACTGAAATGAGCATGTGTCTGAACGATTCCCATTAGACACCTACTATAACAATTTCCATTGGACACATCGACTATATTGTAGTACACAGACTCTGAATTGGGAAGTAATTTTCTCACAACTTCTCACGATAAGTTGCGTCAAAAGAGGCTTTGTTTTCAAGGGTCTTAGCAACTGAAATTGTTATCTGACCGTGACAACCTCAATATCAAGCAGCCTCTGCGGCGTCAGCGACTGCCATTGAAGTAGTAGACCAGGTGTACTACTGTTGCAGAAGGAAACAACCAATCTAAACAAGAGAAATAATCCTCCTTTCACTCCGAGAACTGCAGGCAAGTGAAACTACAGTACACAGGTGCTGAGTATACAATTTCAATAACTCCTTCACCTGCAAGCAATCACAGGATAATCTCGCATTCGCTGGCTTGTTTCTACTTCCATACAATCTTCCGATGTGGAAGGTTCTGCTGCCTCGGAAAAGTCCCATGCGGCCATGGTGAAACCGACATCTCGAAGAATAGTCTGAAGAAAAGGAGATTAGCGGAACCAGATAGAACGTCTTGTTTCAGAACGCTCACCTCACTCAGCTGAATCAAGAATGGAATGGCATCTTCAGAACTGATGCTTCCCATACTCGACAGTACTTCTGTTTCAAACCATTCCAGCTCGTCGCACATATCGTTCATGAACCTAGCTGTGTGATCTGTATCATCTTCGCCACGATCCTTGATAATTAGCAGTTAGGTTGGTGATAGGAAAGCTTCTATCGCACAGTAACAGAACGCGAGCCACGGTCATGCCGTATTTGTCGCTTAGGCAGAGTTCAGGCTTGTCGCGCTTCAATTGTCGCTGTCGCTTGTAATTGAACACGCTACAATTACAAGCGCGCTCCAATTGTACCAGACCCCAGCTTCCTATCTTCTTTCTTCCGGTATTTGACCCTTTTTTCACTAATTTCTCATTTCTACCTGATTTCTAATCCTTGACATTGAATTTTAATATAGCATTTGTCGTTTTTGACGGCGTTTTGAGTTTTTTTGACGTTTTTCACGAGTTTTTTGAAACGGTACACTAATTCATTACCACAGTGTCCTGTATCAAAAACTACATTAAAATTCGATGTCAAAGTGAAAAAGAGGAGCTAAGAATCAGGTAGAAATGAGAAACAGTGAAAAAGGTGTTGAATACTGGAGCATAAAGAGAAAATGAGGTCTGGTACGATTAGAGCGCGCTTGTATGCTTAAAATCCCTGAGATCTAGTAGGCGTGGCTGCATGCTTCAACTTAACCTGAAGGAGTCTACGCTTCTGGTGAGATTTTTCATCTTGACACAATTGTTGTCGTGTCTCTGTCCAACACAGAACAAGATGACAGTTGTCCCAGACTGGAATATTCCACGAGTAACCAATTCCGTGCCATGTTCAAATGCCACGCCT